GACTGGTAAATATCAGAGGGAGCGGATAGTGTACCAATAGGATTCTACTCGAAATTCCAACTAACTTCGCAGTTAGCACTCCCTTTCTAGGTAACAAAATGGTCATGTGCTCCTTTACATTGAATGCAACAAATCAAATCATAAAGTTTGGTTCTTCGTTTGTTTCAAATAATTGTTAAATGACTTCGACAATTCTGCAAAGCATCTTGTACAATGCAAAAAATTGTTCGTCTGCTTTTTAATATTGAATGCTCTAACGTCGGTAAATATATCGACTCTTTGTTTATTTTAAAGAAGTCATTCAGAGGGTTCCTGTCAATTTGCTTTATTTAAGAACAATCTTAAACTCATTCATGCGCAGAAAGCTTGAAAAGTTATGTAGCATCATGTGCATACGAGGGTTTTGTCGCATGGTAAATCGATGCTTGTGTTGCTACTGGTAGATGAGGTTCTTTCATTAAGTTATACCCCCCTGCATTTTTTGAAAGAGAACTGTATTTACATATACAGACTATAAGTCTGCAAACATAATTTAACTATTTTTTATTACTCGTATGCTCTTCTGTCTTCATTTGCTTGGGAAGCCCCAGTGCAGAAAAAAAACAGATATTTGCAAAATAAATAAAATAAGAAGCGCATTGTTTAAGAATTAACCTTAACACACTTTCTCAAAGCGTCCGATCCCTTTTCAATTCATGGACCGCCAGAGCTATTGACACTTCAACAACAAAGGGCGCCAAGTTCACCTCACCGTTACTATTGCATCTAAAAGATCACCATATAGTCAAAGCGTAGGAGACCCGTTTCATTAGTGTTCTTCCGAGCCGCAGGAAAACACAAAACTTTCTTGAATGCAGCTAACGCAAAGTTCCCAACGTATTTTTCATAAAAGTATAGACACGGCTTAACTTGACGAACTTGCTCAATGTGACAATTAAAATATTTTTACACAATACGGCGCATTGCACCCGTATTTCAATTATGTATTTGCATCACCTGTTAAAACAATAACAACAAGCCACACGACCTACCTTCTAATCCTCCTTACACTACGTAGGGCACGTTCTTTTCCATCGCGGGGTAGCAGTGATCTTCCCCAGCTAGATGGTGAGGCCCGGCGAAAACCTACACATGTGTTCGCGACGTTTTCCTCATCCAGGTATTTCTACTGACGAGGCCCCACACCAACCGGGATGAGCTCTAAATGAACGAAAAACATAACAACCATCTGCTAGAGTGCTCCTCCAGGCAGCGACTGAACTCGGCCTATCTAGCTAGTGTCGCAAATCCTGCAACGTTGGCTCACTCGAATCCTAGGACTTCCCGGTCACAGGCACTGCAGTGACATTAGTTGATGCCCTGAGACTCCTTTGCCGGCACGTCACACTCACTTTTTATCAGTTTTTATTTTTATTTTAAACAAACAAACAAACGAAATCCTCAATTAAACTACGCGTGGCGTGAATCGCTCCCGATTTGCCAGCCCGCTGCACACAGGTCACAGGTGGCGGCTGCGGCGGACTTCCGGAATCCTGCGGGTCGCAAGGTGCGGCCGCTCCGCATGCGTGGCTGGCTGCGCGCCCGCGATGCCGCTCCCCTCCCTCTGGCCCGCCCGCGCGCGCTGTGCCGCGCAGACGCACGCCGCGCGGTGCGGTGCGGGGTCCCGTTAGCGCTGGCTGGCATGACGCGCGGTGCGGTGCGGGCCCCGCGCACAGTGGTTCACGATTAAAATGGAAACGGGATAACTACAGCATAATCAAGGATTATCACTGGCGGCCATACGGGGGGCTAAGGGGGTCGAATCCTCTCCCAAAAAACTTCGAAAGGGGCACCGTGGCCCTACACAGTAAAATAATTCTTCTTCCTTCAGGGATTAGGGCGATGCCTGTTCCGACCTCTCACTTCATCTTCTTCTTGGGCGACCTGGATCTCTTCTTCGTCGGAGCCTGTCCTTCTCTTGGGAATCTTCCATCGGTCATTGTTTCTACGCATTCTTTTCATTTCGTTTTATTTTCTGTTGTACGAGTGGTTAGTGAGAAGATATTGAGTTCACTTCGTATGTCAATATTTCTTATTCAACTGAGTCTAGTGCAGCCTTTAACATCTAAGGAAGCTTATCTCAAGTGCCTGTATTCTTGACATATCTTCCTTACGAGTAACCCATGTTTCTGAGCGATAGAGAAGTGTTGGTACTGCTATTATTTTGTAGAATTTTTTTGTTGCTTTTATTTTATTTGTGAGTTTTTTGTAATACATCCACAAATTTATGTAATTTATTTTCTGTCTTCATCCCAACCATAAGAAATATTACGACCTAAGTAATTAAATTATATTACTAGTTCCAGAACGTGTCCCGATCTTAGTTCTCAAGGAATATTTCGTGAGGTTAAACGATTTGGAATAGATCAACTAAATGTAACTACCTGGAATGTCAGAGGTTTATCAACAAAAGGAACTGATTTTAAATTACATCTTAAAAACAAGAATGTCCAAATAAAATATTTTATTTTCATTAATAGTATCAATTCCTGGCAATCCTGTGTTTCTTATAACGGATACACTGAGAAACTCATACGTCATTAAGGAAAGAAGCTTTCAAAACTATCTGGAAACCCTGTAAATGTTTCAATATGAAAGACTTGTATTTCTTTAAAATTATCATTAATATATAATTTTATTCTCTTCGTAGTATGTTTTATTTATTTACTAAAAAGTATGTGGTATGCAAACAAAAATGTTTATTGGGAAATGGGGTTCAGTGAGACCCAGAAACGTAGTCCCCCCTCTTCAAATGTAGTTGTTCCCTCTTGCTGTAGGCTACGCACGGCTAAGAGGATTAGCTTAAGATCTAAATGAGATTTCAAATAACATGACAACTCTTTTGAAGGGGCAAATACATGCCGATGGTACGTGATCGGTTTACTCCAAGGTACCTAGAATAAGGTTCCGTTTCACCTGTCCACGCTAACACTAGTATCTGCAGGCCATTGGATTGGAGCCTGAAAACACTAGTGTTAACCAGTCTTAAATTAAACCTTCAGATTCTTGATTTTCTGCCGGATACGGGTTCGTGGTTGTTCGTATCATGAAAGTTTGTGCACGAAACCTGCCCTTTAGAATTTCTACAGGCCAGGTAGCAACGCCTCTTCGCCTAAAGATACACCCTCACTACGAGAAGAGGGAGCGAAAAAAGGGGCTAGGAAGAGGGATGGGTATGGCATGGGGAAAAGGCTACCGAGTTGGGAAGTTGAGACGACGGGAGAACTGGGTATTTGAGAGTGGCTTCGGAATGCGATTAGACACAGGCAAAAACGATAAGGGGAAAATTGTCATGTAACCAGAGCGTGTGGGAGTCTCTTTATCCATTATTTTACCTTGTTTATCGTATTGCGCTGTACTAGATATTGCGTCATAATGGCAAAGCCTATTGTCAGGTTATATTTTGAACGGGTAAGATCTATTTAATTTTTGTGTAGATGCGTCCTTAAAAGTGCACAATGGTTCTTAATTGAAATAAAAACAGGATAACTTCGTCCCAATCAAGGATTAGGTCGTGAGTTTGTTCAGAGGACATTACTACATCAAAACCGGAGACAAAGATGGGGGTGCTACAATAGGTGGAGCTAGTATCGCCGGATACAGTTGCAGGTTAGGCTCGCTGACTTCCATACATAAAAATTGGCTACTTTTTTAGATATACGAAAAGTGTCAAAAGGTTCAATTATTCATAATTTATACATGTGATAAACCTCTGAAGAAAGCGCGAACGTCGACGCTATCTTTTGTAACATTACTCGCCTCATTGCGTCTCGCAAACCCACGCAGCAGCCACGTTGTAAGAATCATGAGCAGAAGTTTGTATTTTAGGTCCTGTAGGAAGAAGCTGCGGAACAGCGCGAACTGTAATAGTTTCCACCACGTTATATTGAAGTTCAAAGGCCCTGATGAAAAGAGGCCAATAGACGCTGAGGGTACGTAATTAGTTTAGCCGTTTCGTTTCACCCATCCGAGCGAATATGAGTGTCTTCAGGCTGCAACCCGGCGGATAAGTTTTACACGAAAGCCCCCGACTCTTGATTTTCTGCCAAATGCGGGTTCTTGGTCGCTTGTATCATGAAAGTCTGTTCACAAAACCAGCTCCATAGAATTTCCACAGGCCAGGTAGCAACGCCCCTTCGCCCCAAGGTGCAACCTCGCTACGAGAAAAGCGAGCAAAAGAAAGGTTGGAGGTGGGGGTGGGCAAGGCAATGTAAGAAGACTACCGAGTTGGAAAGATGAGACGTTGTAAACTCAGACCGAAGAACTGGATATTTGTGGGCGGCTTTGAGATATGATTAAACACAAAGAGTCGTGAAACCCGGGGGGGAGGGGGGGGGCAAATTGTCACGAATTCAGAGCGTGTATAAATACTTGACACGTATAGCTCTTTAGACAATATTTCATTCCATTTGACTTATTGCGCAGTATCAAGTATTGAGTTATACCGGCAAGGTTTATCGTCACAATGGTGTCTCTAACGGAGTAATGTATTACTTTAAATCGGATAGGCCTCTTTAAATTTTGCCCAGAGGGTTATGTTAGACTCTATGCTACACATATTCGTCATGGGGCAGACTGCCGTCCTTCATTTCCAAAATAACTGTGTGAACGGAAAGGAAGTGAGTAAATTGCGCTAGATATTTAAACGCTGTGATATACGAGCGAAGAAAATACTGAGAGTTCTTCCTCGGTTGGACTTCAATCGTTTTTGCGTCAATTAAAAGCATGCGATGTTTTAAATTCGATAAAAATAAATTTCTACTTAGCTGTAAAATCAAAATCACTTCTTTTCCCCGTAATCATCAAAGCAAATATTTGGTAATTAGTATATCCAGACAAAGACAACATGGACTTTCCTCGCTGTCCTCCCCTGAGAAACGCGTGTGTATCGGTGATTCTCTCTCCATTGGAGTGGCTGGCGCAGTAGTGTGCCAGCCACGGGCGAGGAGGCGTGCGCTCACCCGAGAACAGCTGGATCCAGGCGGCGGAGCGGAAGACGGCGGTGGCCGGCAGGAAGAAGAAGAGCAGCATGGCGGCGACGGCCAGCAGGGCGAACAGCGCCGCCAGCGCCACCAGCACGGCGGCCAGCTGCCACGCCACCGTCGGCAGCGACATCAGTTCGTCCAGCCCGCCCTGGCAGTCGGGCCCGCCCTCCGCGCCGGTCCTGCCCAGCAACAGACACACGCACGTGCGTTAGCCAACTACAGAGAAATCACTCTACAAAATGACAGGTCGGAAAACAAATGAAAACCACTATTTACTAGCCTGTCCGGGTGACGCTGCGTCCATGGTGAAGGTGCTGACGTTTCGGTCGCCATTCTGCGACATTCTGCAGGGCGTAATAATTGGCATTACGCCCTGAGGAAGGTCGCAGAATGGCGACCAAAACATCGGCGGCGTCACCCGGACAGCCTAGTAAATACTGGCTCCGGCCGCGGAAGTCTACGCTCGCATATGAAAGCCACGTTGATGGATGGCTTTGCAGGAAGTTGGGTCGAAACCTTTTGCAACTGCGCCAATTCCAATCGAACACATTAAAGAATTAATGACATGGACATAACCTGCAGTTATGTTGCCAGCAGTAGCCACGCTTTGGCTCTTCTCATATCGGTCCCTTCTTAAGGCGGCTGCACATATTCGTTATTCGTTGAGTAGCGAGCGACCGCACGCCGAATCGCAAATAGTGGGGATGTGTTGCTTATTATCGACGAACATTTGGTTCTCGCCCTACTCACTGTGTGGACACATCAAAGAAAGCGAACATACACTAAACACATCAATTGTTCTGAATTAAACGAACACTAGCTCGCTGCTCGGCGAATGCCGAATATGTGGAACCGCCTTTAGCGGAGTGCCACACATTCTGCATTCTGCATTCGGCGAGTGGCCAGAAACGGCTCGACCAAGAAGCCGATAGCTTGGGCGAAATCCAATCATTGTCTGGAGGAGAATCCTAGCGGCCTGCAGCTCTGATTGGTAGTTTTCCGTTGTTACTCCAATCTACATCAGGCGAATGTCGGAGCAGTACTCTACCAAACGAGCCACGGATCGCGCGCGAGATCTTTCTTTCCTCTTCCTTGCTCTATCCTCAGCTCATATTTACACACACAATTACATTCACTACATTACCACACATGGTGGGAGGCCATTCGCGAGAATTATCCCGACTTCAGCGGTATCACTTTGGTGAGATACCTAGAAAAGGAAACCCTGCCAGCCTAGCTCTGATAGGCGCCAAATCTCACGCCTCAATGCGGAAGGAACTCCACCACATCCTCTGGGTTTATAGAATGTACTACATTTACAGAACTAATGACTATAGCAGTTGACGCGCCGGGAACCATTAATGGAGGTGCTCAGCGACTTTTCGCTTCCTTTGATGTTACCAAAAGATCGACATGCTGCATGTAGAACAAGCAAATCAATGTTTGGTGCTCGACAAATAGCAAGCAACCCATCCCCTCTGCACAGTTTTCGGTGAGCAGACGCTAGCAACCCGACGAATTGCGTGTGCATGGAGGCGCTTTTATGTTCCGTCCATTCATCTGATCAATATTATTATTCTGATTCCCTTGTGTCTTTCTCGTTTCTATACGTTAACTACTAGTTTCTTTTAAAAAAATGTTCGTGGCCTATTTTAAAATAACAGATTTTTTACAACAGACCTTGTTTAAGCCAAAAATCTCTATCTTCAATTTTTAAGTTTTGTAATGGTAACTTTTTGGAATTTTCGTAAAACCGAGCAATACCAGAAAATAGGTCTAGGGCTACATTTTTGCCGTCCTTTATTGCATATGTGGGGAAAATTTAAAGAAAAACATTTGGAGCGGTTTTTAAGAAAAAAATAATTTACAAAATTCACGCAACATTACACGAACACTACTCACACTTTTGAAAAGTTTAACATGATTTAATTTTAAGATGTGCCTTTAAGGAATATATTTCATGAAGAAAAAAAATATTGTTCATCAATATTATAGTTGTAGGAAGACGCCAAAAAAATGTTGAATTTTTGTACTTCTCGAAATCAGGAATTTCAACGAAAACTACCACCAAATTTTATACCATCCGTTGATACATACGAAGAAAAAATTTAAAATAAAACTTTGGTGCGGATTTTGAGGAAACATTGTTTTAAAAAATTAAAAATTTCCTATATTTCACGCAAAATTGCACGAAAGCTTTTCAAATTTCCGAAAAATTGAACATGATCTTATTTGAAGTGTCTTTCAGGAACAGATTTCATTAAGAAAACAATTTCTATCTTCAAAATTGCACTTCTGCAATTTTGGAAAAATCATTGGTTTCAACGAACATGAAACCTGCACTATTCTCCTCAGCGTCTTTCACGCTACCTGAGAACAAAATTTAATAAAAAAATGTGGAGCCTCTTTTGAAACATTTGAAAATATTCTTGAGGTTTTATGTAAAGTATCCTCAAAAATCAAAATATCTGGTTGAAACTTCTAATGCCTCAAGTTCGTTTAGCTATATCGAGGGAATATCAAATCAGCTTAACTCTAGTGTTGACCACGGACGAACGTATTGCTGTAAATCGATTTTTCGATATCAATGACCCACAAAACATGGATTCTGGCTACACCACGTTTTATAGGAATTAATGTTCTATATATATAGAAAAATAATTTTCCCACTTTTTTGTAACCAGGGCTCAACAATAAAAGTGTTTCTGTAAGAAATTCGCCGTTTTCTGATGCACTATTGCAATACTTCCTCATCTTAGTTTCTTGCACTTACTTCGTAAGAAGAGAAAGTTATGTAATCATGCGCTGGAAAATGACGAATTTTCGACAGAAAAACTCTGTTCTCTGCCGCTGTTGAGGTGACCCTGTTGATAGTTCATCCGGGCGGTCAGATGCTCTACTGTTGATTGTCTATCCGGCCGTACACATGTCCACAACCGTCGTTCTCCCCGGTCATCTACGACCAGTGGTGCGCCACAGTTAACTCGGCGCCGGTTTTGGATGGCGGCATTTATACTTTAACCAGAGCAGCACGAGAAAATGTACAAACTTAGCCGTTTCGGAAATGGTTCCGCCCTTGATCCGAAAGCCAATGATCATGCCCTTTTGGACGTCAGATAAATCGTTCCGTTTCTGCATTGCGACAGTGTTTTTCGCTTCGGCTCGCTTCATACCCTTCACTTAGTGCTGCCATTTGCCATCTATGAAGTATTATTGCACTTAGTGGACTATAGGCGGTGATCACATTAATGTGACTGCATTATGCTAAGTTATTGTATAAGTATTGTTTGCGGTTGTTGTTGATGACGCTGCCGACAAATCATACTTCTCAAGGAAGTAAGAATCTTCACCGATTAAAGAGACAACATGTACATGAAAAATTATAATTTTTTCATTATTGCAAAATATATCAAGATAGTTAAATTTTTGAAATTAATTTTATTTTGCTGTCATTATCACTAGTGGCAGTAACAACTAAAATCATGAAATGAAGTAGTGTAAAACATTACTAAAAATATTTATTGTTGTTGCAAAGTGCTAGAGCGTGATAACCGTATTTGTAAATTCTACTCAGATTTTATTTTGTATGAATTCTATTATGTGTAACTGTCTCAATGCAGAACAAATACAAAAACTCTAGTGTCCATTAGAAATCAAAGCCGGAACCATATGCCCTGGAGGTGAGCATACCTGAGTGACTCAACGCGTAAAATTAAGCAAATAATGCTTGACTATAGACTTTTATTAAACTTAGATTTCATGTATTTATACGAGTTTCTTAAGTTTTATTTTGTTTTAATCTTCTGAATTTGGAAATTACATTCCAAGCATTCGATGGAGCTGCATCATCTATTTCTGACGAGCATCAGCCGTCACTGGGTGATGGAGAGATCTCCCAGTAATTTAATTTAAATTTCTGGTCAATATAGAAAACTCTTATTCGTATTGTCAATAGAGTTCCAAGTACATGTAGAACAGATTTTATTATGTTAGTGTTGCCGGAAGTAACCATCGACATACAATGACATTCTCGTGATTAGATTTTTTTCGTCGTTTAACCCCATTGCATTAATGTAAATTCCACATTTTTTTCTTTAGCAGTAATGTTCCTTCCAATAAGTATTCACTTAAAAAACACCGCATCCTCAATAGCGTGATACTTCACTAAAGCCATCAGTAGCCTTAATACCGGGGAAGAGAAAGTGAGGAAAAGTGTTTCTTATTGCATGAATTTTATCAAATCTGGATTTTCTAGCCGAAGACAGGAAGATCCCTAGACGAGCTAACTAAACTCAAACTGACCGAACCGGAATACGAACTCATTTTCAACCACTTCAGAGCAGCGGGGTGAACACACTCGTCTACCTATCAAGTTAACAGAAATTAAATTAACGGGTACAGATAATTATTTTTAACCTACTAAGTTTAGTTCTATCTTTGAGTGAATTTGAATTTTATAAATGATACAATTTCTATCATAATAGTTTATAATTAATCCGAAATTTTATCTAAGAAGCATTCTCTTATCTAGGTATTTTATGTTCATCTAGACCAAACTTCCACGTGACCTTAAATCATACGTTCTCTGCAGAGATCACGAGTTGGTCTGAATGTCAACCGACGCATATGAACATTTTTATGGGGTCACAGCCCATTTTGATAAGAAAACATCTAAAGTAATTAAGTGCTGTTTAATTTCAGCTTGAATTTAGGTTTGACAAAACGTACAATTAAAGAAAATATAAAACTGAATAATTATTTTGTAATATCTGATTTTACGAATACTATTTGGATTTTATGTGAATCTTAACTATGCGTATTTATGAATAGTACTTTGCTATTAAAGTTGTGTTTGTGCGAAGACATTGCTTGGAAATGTCGGTTTTGTACGATTCAAAACACCACCAACACAAAACCCCAGAAGTGTGACGAAAGAAGACTGACGTTTGACTTCAGAAGACGAAACGTTTATATTTTTGCAGATAATGGTATAAGGAAAACAACACGTGAACATGCAAGTCGTAACACACGTTACTCTCGGGCACAACTCCCGGAAAAGATGCATCCTAGACAGTAAAAATTAATTTTTCGAGTCCGTCACAAGTTGTTTCTTAATCTCGTGAAATATCGTGAAAAAAGAGACTTTTTGGGGAAACGTCCGTCTGTATTTATGAAGGAT